TCTGGGTTGTTTACAGGTTCTGGCTATTACAAATAAAACTGCTATAAACATGGTTGAGCAAATATCCCTTTTGTGTACTTGAGCAAACTTTGGGTATATGCCTAGCAGTGGTATAGCTGGGTCTTGAGGAAGCACTCTTCCTAATTGTCTTAGAAAGCGCCAGATAGATTTCCAGAGTGGTTGTACCAGTTTACATTCCCACCAGCAGTGGAGGAGGGTTCCCCTTTCTCCACAACCTCTCCAGCATGTGTTGTCCCTTGAGTTTTTCATCTTGGCCATTCTGATGGGTGTAAGGTGATATCTCAGGGTCGTTTTGATTTGCATTTCCCTGATGGCTAATGAGGATGAGCATTTCTTTAAGTGTTTCTCTGCCATTCGATATTCCTCTGTCGAGAATTCACTGTTTAGCTCTGTTCCCCATTTTTTAATTGGATTACTTGGTTTGCTGCTTTTCAGCTTCTTTAGTTCTTTGTATATACTCGATATTAGTCCTCTGTCAGATAAAGGGTTGGTGAAGATTCTTTCCCAATCTGTAGGCAGGCGTTTTGTTTTGATGATAGTGTCCTTTGCTTTACAGAAGCTTTTCAGTTTCATGAGGTCCCATTTATTGATTGTTGCTCTTAGAGCCTGTGCTGTTGGTGTTCTGTTCAGGAAGTTGTCTCCTGTGCCAATGAGTTCTAGGCTGTTCCCCACTTTTTCTTCTAACAGATTTAGAGTATCTGGTTTTATGTTGAGGTCTTTGATCCACTTGGACTTTAGTTTTGTGCAGGGTGATAAATAGAGATCTATTTTCATTTTTTCTGCATGTGGACATCCAGTTGGACCAGCACCATTTGTTGAAGATGCTGTCTTTTTTCCATTGAATGGTTTTGGCTTCTTTGTCAAATATCGAGTATTCATAGGTGTGTGGGTTTATTTCTGGGTATTCTATGCGGTTCCATTGATCCTCCTTTCTATTTTTATGCCAATACCATGCAGTTTTTATTACTATTGCTTTGTAGTACAACTTGAGATCGGGGATGGAGATACCTCCAGATGATCTGTTGTTGTACAGGATTGTTTTGGAGATTCTGGGTTTTTTGTTTCTCCATATGAAGCTGAGAATCTTTTTTTCAAGGTCTGTAAAGAATTGAGTTGGTATTTTGATGGGAATTGCATTGAATCTGTAGATTGCTTTTGGCAGGATGGCCATTTTCACAATGTTAATCCTACCAATCCATGAGCATGGGAGATCTTTCCATCTTCTGAGATCTTCTTCAATTTCTTTCTTCAGAGACTTGAAGTTTTTCTCAAACACGTCTTTCATTTGCTTGGTTAGAGTCACACCAAGGTACTTTATGTGGTTAGTGGCTATTGTGAAGTGTGTTGTTTCCCTAATTTCTTTCTCGGCCCTTTTGTCTTTGGTATACAGGAGGGCTTCTGATTTTTTTGAGTTGATTTTGTATCCTGCCACTTTGCTGAAGGTGTTTATCAACTGGAGGAGTTCTCTGGTTGAATTTTTGGGGTCGCTCATATATACTATCATATCATCTGCGAATAGTGACACTTTGACCTCTTCCTTTCCGATTTGTATCCCCTTGATCTCCTTTAGTTGTCTTATTGCTCTGGCTCAATCTTGTGATATTTGGTGATAGTTTTACATTGGTTTAGAAGCCCAGTAGTTTATCAAAGTTCAGTTCTTTGAAACAGGTCTTAGGTCTACATATGACATGATTCTATTTGCTGTGATAAATGAGGAACAGCTATTTTTCTCTCCTTTTTCCCTCCACCATTCCTTTGAAAGTGTCCATAAATTATAAATGCCTAAAAAATTACTTCAGAATTCTGTTCCTTTGCCTTTGTCATTAATTATTTTGGATAAGCTTTTGTGCTTGGGAAGTCCTCTCCATAGCCACCCAGCAGCTGAAATATGCCATTTTGAGGAATGAATAACAGCATCTAGAATCCTTGCATGACTAAGCAAAACAGTTTAACTTTCTCCATCTCCTCCTATAAAAAAAGCCCAGGGTTGTCAGAAATCATGGTGGTCATCTAATATAATTATATGAATTTTAAAAAATTCTTTATTAATTACACTTTGTTCACTTTGTACCCCCCTGTGGTTCCTTCCCCACTCCCATCCCAATCCTTCCCTTCCTCCACCCTCTGCATGCATGCCCCTCTCTAAGTCCACTGATAGGGGAGGACTTCTTTTCCTTCCTTCTGATCCTAGTCAATTAGGTCTCATCAGGAGTAGCTGTATTGTCTTCTTCTGTGGCCTGGTAATGCTGCTTCCCCCTCAGGGGGAGGTAATTAAAGTGCAGGCCAATCAGTTCATGTCAGAGACAGTCCCTGTTCCTATTACAATGGAACCCACTTGGATACTGAACTGCCATGGGCTACATCTGTGCAGGGGTCTTAGGTTATCTTCATGCATGGTACTTGGTTGGAGTATCAGTCTCAGGAAAGACCCCTGTGCTCAGAGTTTTTGGTTCTGTTGCCCTCCTTGTGGAGTTCCTGTCCTCTCCAGATCTTACTATTTCCCACTTCTTTCCTAAGATTCCCTACACTCTGCCCAAAAGTTGCCCAAAAGTCTCAGCAACTGCATTGATAGTCTGCAGGGCAGAGCCTTTCAGAGGTCCTCTGTGCCAGGCTCCTGACTTGTTCCCTCTTTTCGCCTTCTTCTGGTGTTCATCCTCTTTGCGTTTCTGGATAGGGACTGAGCATTTTAGCCAGGTCTTCCCTCTTGATTAGTTTCTTTAGGTGTACAGATTTTATTAGGTTTATCCTATATTATATGTGTATATGAGTGAGTATATACCGTGTGCATCTTCCTGCTTCTGGGATAGCTCACTCAGGATGATCTTTTCCAGATCCCACTATTTACCTGCAACAATCAATAAATGGGACCTCATGAAATGTATTTTTAAACTTACAATCTTGCATATCCTTGTCTCTGTTCCTGTGGGTAGAGGACCTAAAGTTTCAAAGATAACACAATAATCTGTCATGGCTTCCTGTATATATATATATATACAGACTGTGCCTGTTCAAGAACCTGAGACCATGGAGATGTTAGGGACCAAAGCGTAGCTTTTCCCCAGCTGGATGAAAAACATGTGGAGGCAGCTCTTCAGTGCCAGCTTACTCACATGAAGACTATGACCTCTAATTTTATAATTAAAGGATGTGTACTCTCATACTTTATCTCCCTTAGATACTTACAAAGAAGTTTTCATTGATACTTGTTTTATGGTGTGTGTGTGTGTGTGTGTGTGTATTCCTCTGTCTGTGTGCCTGGCTGTGCATGTACTTGTGGAGGTCAGAGGTCTATGTCAGGTGACTTGGTCTGTTGTTCTCCACTTTATTTATTTATTTTTTAATTTTTATTTAACTTTTATTAATTACACTTTATTCATTTTGTATCCCCCCCATAAGCCCCTCCCTCCTCCCCTCCCGGTCCCTCCTCCCCTCCCTTTCTGCATGCATGCCCCTCCCCAAGTCCACTGATAGGGGACGTCCTCCTCTCCTTCTTTCTGATATTAGTCTATCAGTTCTCATCAGAAGTGGCTGCATTGTCAGGGTTCTAGGTTATCTCCATGGATAGTCCTTGGTTGGAGTATGAGTCTCTGGGAAGGTCCCTGTGTTCAAATTATCTTGTTCTGTTGCTCTCCTTGTGGAGCTCCTGTCCTCTCCAGCTCTTACTATTTCCCACTTCTTACATAAAATTCCATTCACTCTGCCCGAAAGTTGGCCATCAGACTCAGCATCTGCTTTGACAGTCTGCATGGCAGAGGCTTTCAGAGGCCCTCTGTGGCAGGTTCCGAGGTTGTTTCCTGTTTTCTTCTTCTGGCTTTCAGAGGCCCTCTGTAGCAGGTTCCTAGGTTGTTTCCTGTTTTCTTTTTCTTCTGATGTCCATCCTCTTTGCCTTTCAGGATTTAAGACAGGTTCTTTCACTTAACCTAGGCTTACAATTTGGCTACCCTGGATGGACAGCAAACCTCTGCCACCTTTCTGCCTCCCTATGCTGGGATTACAGGCATGAAATGCTCTCCCTGGCTTTTATGAGGTGATTGAACTCAAATCCTTTCGCTTGCCCAGCAGGCACTTTACTGAGCCATCTCCCCAGCCCACTCCATAATTCTACTTGATGAGTATGTTTTAATGGTGAACTATGTTTATTTTATGTAATGGAGATTAATCAAATACTCTCAACTTTCAAGTTACATAAGTGACATTTCAGTTTTTTGCTGAAAATGTAATGAAGCCTAGAAATAACCTGTGATCTGAAATGGTTTCTGGCTTGATAACCAAGTTCCAGGATTAAGTCAGAAGTACATAAAATGTTTGTAACATTGGAAAATGACTAAGAAATTATGGAAGGAATCATCAGAGTAGGCAAGTCCTAGAGTCATACAGAGCACTGTGGTAAGATCCATTCACCAATAATCAGCTGGTAGTAATTCTTTTAATTGATTCTACCTGGTAGCTCTAGTTGCAATGGTTAAAGGCTTTTATTGTTCCCACAGATAGCCAAAACAAACAGGCACTTCTGATTTTTATGTAAGTCTAGTGATGATTACAGGGCTTACCTTGTAAACCTTAAAACCGGGACAGCTGTAGTTATTGGTAAAGAACCATGCATTCTTGAAGCTGAAATAAAAGTAACCTTGAAAAAGTGTTCATTGTTGTCATACCTCCACCAATATTCATTAGCATTTTCCTTTCAAAGAAAGGGGTCTTAAATGAAAACTTCCTGCTTTTAAATTCCTTCAGCCTGCATAAATTCATAATTTTGTTTTAGAAAAAATTAAATTTACATGGCCATTCTATGTCTAGTATAAACATTGATTTTTTCTGCAAAATTCACATTCTATAGGAGGTAAATGTTAAAAATCTTTATAGTGATGTCACATTGTTAGTTACGTCTCAGCATGGAATATTGGTGATAAAAATCAGGACATGTGGCAAAGTTATTGTTTTTATGTTGTTCAGTATGTGAGTATATAATTATTTTGTAGGAGAGGAATTTTCTGTGCTGAAGTCACTTTTTTCAGCCATTGCGAAGAAGAAACAAGAATTTACATTTAATCTTGCCAGTGCCCTCTACCTCCAAGAAGGATTCACTGTGAAGGAAACATATCTCCATGGCAACAAGCAGTTTTTTCAGAGTGCTACAAAACTGGTGGATTTTCTGGATGCAAAATCTTGCGCACAGACAATAAGCACCTGGGTAGAAAGCAAAACAGATGGTAAAGTTTCCCATTTTCATAAAACTGTTACTTCCTTTTGGATTCATAGCTTTTAATACCCTAAAGAGTGGCTGAATATTTTCCCATTCTACTGTGGATCAAAGGGGTCACATCTTCATTTCAAATCACTGTTATTTAAATTAACGCTAGATTATAAAATCTACAGAAACTCTGAACTGTGTATTGAAAAGTGTATTGACTTATGCACTAATTTCCAGACACCCTCCTCTTCTTGATGGGAATATCTCAGCAATAATTTTTGCTCAAGTATTGATTTTTTTTCAGGCATGAAAACAGAAAGCCTACCTTGGGCCAGGAATATATTAGATATGTCAATTCCAAATGCTACTTTCCCAAGAGTACTGTAAATATTTTAGTAGATTATGTTAATGTTTAAAAATAAGGCTAACAATCTTATCACAAATATGGCAATCTAATCTTTAGACCTTATGTAGCAAAAATTACAAAGTTGTTAAATAGAGGTTAGATTTGAGTTCAATGTTTAGAGCATTGTAAGTTTAGGTTCTCTTTAAAATTAGGGCACTATTAAAATATTACAGTTGTTAAAAACATTAACAATGTGTGTAAAATAATAACATGATAGACCCTTAGTAGTATTCTTTCTTTGATTATGATTACTCTGAAGAAATTTGTGATTGTGTAAATTGTTACTTCTGTCTTCATGGGCAAGCACAAAAACAAAGGTATCCATTGACAGTGTGACACAGCGGTGAGAAACAGAATTTATAGGGATGTGAAATAAGGAAATAACGTATTTATGGACATGAAATTGCTTACTGCACAGAGAAATAAGAGAGGAAGAGATGGTTGTTTTGAAGACCAAAATCAGACTAACAACTGGTCACTGGCTGCAGCTATGAGTATAATAAATTTGGGTTTACCTCTGAACTACAGAATCTGGTTGTCCTGGTGGGCAACCTAGCCCTTTGGTCTGAATAATACTGATGAATATACAGGGAGACATATTTCAGTTCTCTTCTTGTCTGAACAACAATTTATGGACATGATCTCACCAGAGTTCATTACGTAGCTCTGTGCATTTTTTTTTCCTAGAACACTCTCATTTTCTATTTCTTGGTGTTTCTGTTTGTGCCTATTTCTTAGAGAAGTATTTAGCAGTATTCCCTTCAGCTCTTACAGTTGCCAAAGCTAAATGATACAATACCTTGTCCAAACCAGTTCTGTGCAAGACATATTTTCTTTAGCTTATTTTACCAATTACATTACATCATTACTTAATTTTCTCCCGACACTATTCTTTAACATCTTTATAGGAAAAATTAAAGATATGTTTTCAGAGGAAGAATTTGGCCCCCCTGACTCGTCTGGTCCTGGTAAATGCCATTTATTTCAAGGGTGACTGGAAACAGAAATTCAGAAAAGAAGACACAGAGATGACAGATTTTAGTAAGAAAGACCGCTCAACAGTCAAGGTTCCAATGATGAAGGCTCGGTTGAGAGCAAAATACGGTAATATAAGAAACAATATTTTAAATAAGGGCTTGATAACTGACAAATATATTTAATGAACTTTCTTTGTTCCAGGTTATTTTTCTGAGTCACTTATGACCTGCCAGGTTTTGGAACTGCCTTACAAGGCTGATGAATTTAGTTTAGTCATCATTCTTCCCACAAAAGATATGAGCATTGAAGAAGTGGAAAAACAAGTTACTGTTAATCGCATCCGGAGATGGTTCTCTGAGCTACGTGAACAAGAAGTGGAAGTCAGCCTGCCTCGGTGGGTCATGTTCTCTACTACTGATCTTTGAGTTATAAATGGAATCCTTTGGTCAGGTTTGGGTAAATAACACTTCTCTGAAATTGCAAGGGATCCCGATAGGCAGCAAGGGTTATGCACACTAATATGTTTCTGAGAGAAAAAAAAGAATATTCAGATCCGGTGGTGTACCAAAGTAGCAGAGTTTATGTTTTAGTGTGTGTTAACATTTCTTTATATATTTTCATATACTAGTTTATTAATTGAGAATTTCGTACTCATACATCAAATTTTGACTGTAGTCGTTGCTCTGCTCACTATTTCCCCTCACTCCTCCCGGATCTTATCCCTACTCTCTAACTTCCTTGAGTTTGTTCTCCCCTCACAATTTCTTCTCATTTCTCTAGATCTGATCCTTACTCCTATAAACTAAAATCATGAAATCAAAGTTCTGAAGTACATTTTCTCCAAACTAACCATTTTCTTACTAAAATAAGTATGTTTACTTATGAACAGTGGAAAGAAAATTATATAGGCTCAGTAAATAGTTGTGTTGACTGATGACTTTGTTCCAACCATCTGTGCCCCATCTCTGAAGAGTAACTATGTGTATCCCATATTTGTTCTGGAGTCACTAGGTAGACCAGGCTAGCATTAAACTCACCATCTCCGTGCCTCTGCTGTGTGGACACTGGAAATAATGTTCAGTGAGAAGTTTAAAATTTATTACTCAGTGCTGTATTTATTTTATACCTGTGAGTACATAATGAGTTGTAAACTGGTAAGTGAAGTGATTGGAACAATTTAATCAATGTCATCAGATTTCCAGGGCTACCATGAAAAAGAAACAGAGAGCAAACCAGTTGATTTAAACAACAGGCATTCATTCTCATAATTTTGGTATAAAACTATAAAGTCAAGTTGTTTTTAAAGCCACATGGACCTGAAGGCTGTGCCTGGACTCTGCCCTTGCCTCTCTTTAGCTTCTGATAGAGTCCAGCAATCCTTGGAGTTAGCAGCGTAAGTGTGACCCTACACAACATCAGCTCTGAGCAACACAGACAACCATCATGTATTGTCCATATACAAGAGACAATAGGAAGGAACATGGGTCAGATTGGATTATAGCCCCTATTTGTAGAATGTCCCCTTTTCTTCTTAGACATAGAATGAACCGAGAGTCAAAGCCTGTAAGAGTGACAGTAGGCTAAATGTTCTAGGGTGAGAGCTTTATTAGGTTGGACAGTCTAACATATGCCTGCAGTGTGTCAGATTCCTGTATAGAAGAAGCATCGTTAGAATGTGTTTATGTGTACAGATAAAAAGTGAGCACTTAATGCGTGTAGATAAGGCAACTTGTTAGCAAATTTCACCTACACAGAATCTTACTTTTGTATTAAACTACATATATGTGCATATATATCATGTCTGTGTGTTGTGTCTCATGTGTGTGGGTCTACGTTTGTGCACATTTGTGTGTAGAGCTTAGAAGACAAGCTCAGGTGTCATTTCTCTCTTTGCACCTTGTTTGAGAACCTTGACATTTGCAAATGTGTATGTGTATGAAGCCTGTTATTGTGTCTCTGCCTCTTATTTTGCAATAGGAATGCTGGGATTATAAACACATCCTAATGCACTTTACATGGGTCCTGTGATCCAAACTTGAGTCCATATGTTTGTGAAGCAAGCACTTGAAAAACTGTCTCCTAGTCTCTGCTTTTAAATTTCAATGCTAATGCTGTGTTTCTATAGATTTGGTTTGGTTACTTTTAGCTAAAGTCTATTATGTACACAATGGGACTTGAGTTAATAGGATAGGGACTCAGAGGGAGATGTCAAGAGGTTCTAATTTTTCCCCACTTACTGAGAACACTCAGTGTATAGGAGAGGGAATTAATGAGGCAGATTCACAGAAGTTACTGGAAACCATGACTGGGTCCATCTTAGCACAGAAATTCAGATTTTCTTACATTGTCTGCAGGTTTTACGTATGTGAGACCCGTTTCAACTCAATACTTACACATGGAAGCAAATTCCACTTGAAAAGCGAATAGCATGCTAAATAGTTTATTTCATGATTATTTAGTTTAATATTTATCTAACCACCACTTTTGTTGCTTACTCTTTTACCTTTGCCTATTTTTTTGATGAATTTCGGTTAGGGTCAAGGGAAATGAAACATGACTGTAATGAGTAATGATTCACACTGCGTATATTGATGAAGATCATGGTTTCGAATAATAGTTTGATTAGAAGACAGAAAGAGTCAGCACACGAGCTTTGACCTAAATGGACCTGAGTTTAAATCATAGCTCTCATACTTGGCTTGACCTTGAGCTTGGAAATCAACTTTCTTACAATTGCTTTCTTCCATGTCAATGATAACGATAAGGCCAACTTCCTAGGAATTTTGTAAACATTAAAAACTGTGATCTATATTAAGTGCCTAACCACAAAAGTGCTACTTCATCCCCTCTATTCATGGCTGGAATAATTATGGATAATTAGGTATTGGCCTTAGATTATGCTTTTATCAAATGACTGAATGTGTTTCTATTGCTGTAGGCTTCACTGGACTACTCTCTGAACAGGACTATTATTTAAATGACTTTCTAGTGATAATTACACATTATTAGACATTGTAATAAGTCTTCAGTATTCTTGTCATTATCCTGAAATTGCTGGGCTATTATTCTAAAAATAGTAGGTATATTAGAACATATAGTTTCCACCTTTATTGCTATTCAGGACAAAGAATATAATAAAGACAGGGAATACTTTTAAAACAATCATATTTAATTTTTTCCAGTAAGAAATTATTAAGAAGTTGAAAATAGTAGCATAAAATAAGCTACTTTCATTCAAAATAGATTTTTAGTCTTCATGTGCCCCACTATTCCAGTTACTTAGGTTTTGGAATGTTTAGCATATTTCAAAATACATATTATTGTGTCAGAAAATAATTTTAGTATGCTCCCATAGGATATGTGTTACTTTGAAAAATTACAGCAAAGAAATTTAATCAATGCCTGTCAATTAAAACTGTGATTGTATTAGACCTATTTTTCATCAAATTTGTAGCTGGCTTTAGCTTAGGTGTTAGATCCAGGATCCTCCAACAGCCGTTTGCATTTGTTGAACAAGTTCCTGTCAGTACAGGGACTTGAGGTGGGAGCTCTTGAGGTGGGAGTTTCTGGGGAATGTCACCGATGCAGGAAAATCCATTTCTGCACTTACGGATAACACATGCCTTTGCCTTTAAAAAATGTTTATGATAGCTTAATAAAAACATTCTCTAAGCATCTATGCAATAACAGTGTACTAGTCCCCCCCCCCCATTTAAATGACACCATGAGATTCAGTAGCTGCAATTTTCTTGGAACCATGAAAAATCTATACCCAAGCGAATCTCTGAGATTCTCTAGTTAGTTCCTTCTTCATAAATGAGGAACTTAGGTAAGTTGTATGTTGTAGTCTTATCATATGGGCTAGTATTAAAAACACTGTTCAGGTCTCTGACCCCTGACCTGATAACTCTTATCCATTTTGCCCTGTTCCCTTTCAATGTTTTACCCACATGAAGTATTCATTAAGATATTAGGGATGTCCATAAGATAAAGAGCCACAGCAAATGTGAGAACGCATAGGAAGGATGCTGAGTAGTAAATGCCTCAGTGAGTATCACCGCCAACAAGCTTTCTCCAGGACTGTTGACTGCTATTTTCTTTTCTTAGTGTTGTGAGCATCTGCTATTGCACATCTTTTTTAGAACATCCTGAGTACAGAAAATTTCTAGAAGAAAGCTTCATCCTTCTTGCAAAGTATGGAGTTAAACAAGGAAGTTTAGATAGAACTGTTTTGTTGGGTAACTGTTACTTCAAAGTCATCCTATTCATCATCCCCACCAAAAATATATCTAGGAAGCAAGTTATTAGCTATTTGGAACCAATTAATGGAACTGGATATAAAAGATGTGAGATGTAAGAAAATGAAACCAGGCTGGTGAAAACCAAAGATTCATAATATAAACTTTGCCAAGTCACCTATGTCATAAAATGTTTTTTTCTTAGAAAATGTGCACTGTGTCTTAAGTCATTTTTTTCTTCATCTTTTTGAAACAGATTTAAAATAGAACAAAAATTAGATTTCAAGGAAGCACTATATTCTTTAAACGTAACTGAGATGTTTAGTGGTGGCTGTGACCTTTCTGGAATAACAGGTATGCTGCTGATGAGTTAATTTTTATATTGTCATGTTGATTTGTTTTCGTGGAATTATATTAGCATGCTGATCTTAAAAGAGAGAGCACTCAGACCCAGAAAGCTTTTGTGTAGTGAATAAATGTCACACTAAGGCTGAGCATCTTATTCTTAAGCCCTGTGTCTCCCCAGGTCAGAAGTTTTCCTCAATGAAAATCAGAAAACATTTCTTTCCTTTTTTAAAGATTTATTTATTTATTATGTGTACAGTGGTCTGCCTGCATGTACACCTGCAAGCCAGAAGCGGGCACCAGATCTCATTATAGATGGTTGTGAGCCACTGTGTGGTTGCTGGGAATTGAAATCAAGGCCTCTGGAAGAACAGCCAGTGCTCTTAACCTCTAAGCCATCTCTCCAGCCCCAGAAAACATTTCTTAATGTTAGATAAACATTCTTACCATACTTATAATAAAACAATGTAAATGGAAGAATTATATATACATATATTCTGCCCTGTTTGTATTCCCTTACTCAAAATGGGAATTACAACAGGTCATCTGTCATTTAAGTAGGACAAATACACTCAAATGGACAACTAATTTTCAAATGTAATTTGGTAGTATCAAAGCCCACAAAGATACCTCCAGATGCCTTCAGTTTGACAACAAACGGAGATGGAATGTTCATGCTAACATAAATCTAGGGAACCTCTTCTTACTGGGTCCCTTACCTCCACAGCTACACCAGACATTCTCTTAGCTCTGTCCTTGACAAAAAATGATAACTGAAAACTAAATAACTGAACAAGTAGAACTTAAGAGTGCTATATACACCACCTACACTTTGAAAAATCCAGCCTTCTCTGTCATATAAAGGGCCGTGGTGATAAGCTTACTAGTCTACTTTGTATCACCATATATAAAAAATGCAGTACAAAGCCTTTTTGAACTTTTATGTGACTATGTAGACTTGGAGACGTATTGGTCTGTTTATTCATTCACCAATCATGTAGGTCCATGGGTGGAGACAGCAGGAAGTGTCTAAAGGAAGTGGAAAATGTGCACAGGTGCCATACAAGTTCTTTATCACCTTCATGACACAGCTACTTGTTTCCACACAGGCAATTGGATCTGACTTCTTGCCAGTGTCTACAGTACCAGCAGTAACAGTCAACATTAAACACTTCAGGAGATGCTATTTTAAGGTGCCCTGAACCGTAGCTACCTCCACAACCCATAATAACCAAGAACTTTTCAAGCACTTCTTCCCCTTAAAACTTCTTCCTGGTCTTAGGGATCTCAGTCAATATACATTAGGCATTTAAACATTACTCACTGTTTAAACTCCAGCAATTTAAACTCCAGCATAAGCCTTTTACAAGATGATTTCTGAAAACACTTCCAAACTGCTCCATAAAATAATTTGTACAAAAGAATAATCCCTAGCAGAGAATAAATATCTCACATTTTCTGCTTTTCTCCCCTCCTGGGCTAGCTATTTAAATTACTTTACCATTTTGGTCCTGCCTCACTGATTGAAATAAAGCAGCCAATTCTAACACTACAGCTGGTATATTTGGCATATGCTGTATCTAATACTTTGCAGGGCAGCAAACAAATGCTTATATAATGAAACTGTTGGTATCGGAGGATCACGTCCATGGTGGTTTGGCCCTCTGGGACTGGACCAGACAAAGGGCTGCAGTGACAAGTGGTAGAAGACCTCATTTATCTCACTGGAGACAAGAAGCAGAGAGGGGAGAAAGGAAGGAGCAGGGACAGGATACTCTAAAAACACAGTGGCCAGCTTCTCTCAGCGTCATCTATTTCTTGCCCCTACCTGAGGACCTAGCCTACCATACGTGAGGCTTTTGAAAGGATGTTTATCCAGGCTATAACACCTGCTATGCTTACTTATTTTTATACAATAAAATTTTACCAAAATGCAGTCTAAACTACTCTAATATTAGTGATATGGAGCATCTGCAAGAAATAGATATTTTATACTGGCATAATTCGCTGATTTTGATAGTATTATTATTATTATTATTATAAATTACAGTTTATTCATTTTGTATCCCGGCTGTATTCCTTCCCTCATCTTCTTCCATTTTACCCTCTCTCCTTCTTTTTCCCTTATGCCCCCTCCCCTAGTCCACTGATAGGGTAGGTCTTCTTCCCCTACTATCTGACCCTAGCCTACCAGGTCTCATCAGGACAGACTGGATCCTCATTCTCTGTGGCCAAGTAAGATAACCTTGCCAGAAGGAGGTGATCAAAGAGCAGGCAACAGAGTTCATGCCAGAGACAGCCTCTGCTCCCTTTACTAGGGAATCTACCGGGAGACTAAGCTGACCATGGGCTACATCTGAGCAGGGGGTCTAGGTCCTCTTCATGCATTTTCCTTGGTTGATTCATCAGTCTCTGCAGGTCACTCTGGGCACAGATATTTTGGCTCTGTTGATCTCTTTGTGGAGTTCCTGTCCCTTCCATGGCGTTCTATCTACCTCTTCTTCCATAAGATTCCCTACACTCTGCCCAAAGTTTGGCTATGAGTTTCAGCATCTGATTCAATACATGGCTGGCTGGGTAGAGTCTTTCAGAGGTCCTATGTGCTAGGCTCCTATCCTGTTTCCTGTCTTCTCTCACTTCTGAGGTCTATCCTGTTTGCCCTTTTGAGTGAGGACTAATCCTCTTCCCTAGGGTCCTCCTTGTTTAGCTTCTTTAGGACTATAGATTTAATATGTTTATCCTGTATTTTATGGCTAATACCCACTTATAAGTGTGTATACACTATGTGTGTCTTTCTGAATTTGGGATACCTCACTCAGAATGATCTTTTCCTGAAAATTTCATGATTTCCTTGTTTTTAATTGCTGAGTAGTATTCTATCGTGTAAACTTGGCTGCCTGCTCTCTGATCACTTCCCTCTTGCATGGTGGCCTTACTAGAACACAGGGAAAGAGGATCCAGACAGTCCTGATGAGACCTATAGGCTAGGGAAAGATAGAAGGGGAGGGGTTCTTCCCTATCAGTGGACCATGGGAGAGACATAGTGGGAAGGAGGGTGGGACTGGGAGGACATAAGGGAAGAAGCTACAGCCAGGACACAAAGTGAATAAATAATAATAATAATGATTAGAAAATAATAACGAAAAAAACCATAAAAATAACTGTAAACAACAACAACAAAACAACCCTGAGATTTCACCTTGCACCCATCAGAATGGCTAAGATCAAAAACTCAAGTGACAACACATGCTGGTGAGGAGGTGGAGAAAGGGGAACCCTCCTCCACTGCTGGTGGGAATGTAAATTTGTACAACGACTCTGGAAATCTATCTGGTGCTTTCTCAGACAACTGGATATAATATTTTATACCGGGGGGGGGGGG